TCGTCCAGCCAGTGGCCAAGGCTTCGCACCGTCTCCAGGTAGTGCGGCACCTCAGCGGAACTGCGCGGCTGGGGAGGGAAGTAAAGCACAACTAGGCAGCAGTCTTGGCAATCACGCTTGATCCTGACCGCGAATGCCCTTCCTCCTGAGCCAGGCGGGCCTTGCCAGACTCGCAGTATGTCGTTCAGTCGGTAGCTGCGATGGAGTATCACCGCGCAGCCCGTGCTGCTGTTCGTATAATGTCCTGGGCTGAATTATATCTCTCTCTCTCTCTTCCTCTCTCTCTCTCTATATATATATATATATCCCACAGCCCCTGGACACGACGCTGCAATGGTTCCACGGCCTTTCTGTCACACGCCTGAATGCCTCCGAATAATATAAAGCCGATCGATCTGCAAAACAAAACAATATCTTTTAAGCGATCCCGCCGTACGCTATGCGGATTCCACCCAAGTATCTTCGTTGTTTCGGCCACGGCTCAGAAGGGCTGCTGGGCGAAAGATAGGGGAGCCCTGCTGGCGTTGCTGCGAAAATCTCTGGTCTGCCAGACAAATCGCTCGAACAACAGTGGCGACCGGAGAAGGGAGGAGGAGGAGGAGGAGGAGGGGGAGGAGGACGAGGACGAGGAGGAGGAGGAGGAAGTGGAGGAGGTCGGTCCATGGGTTTTTGGGTTCCCTGTTGTGGCCAGGTCTTCGGGTCCTCGAGCGCACATCAGACCAGACAGAGCAGGGTAGAGCGTCGAGCGCAGATAGGATATCAGGGAATAAAAAGTCGAGGTGGTCGAGCGCAGAGAGTGGGGAGCAGAATGTATAGAGAAGAGATCACTAGAGGGTAAGGGTAGAGGCCAGAGTTCAAAGGGCGACGGCAAGAGGCCACATGCAGGGGGGAAGGGTCCAACACCTACGGCGCAGACCGGAGAGCATGAGGCACCGCAGTCGTCATCCTCTGCTCTTGCCAACCCACCGCTCGGGCAACCAATTTGGATCCTATCCAATGCGAGGAAAGCCCCAAGGACGACGCACTTCCGCTGTGGACTGCCGAGGGTTTTTGAGCGCCGGGCGCGGCACATGAGAGCTAAACAACTGGCAAGATTTCACACCTCCGAGGGTGCTCCTGGTCAGGCGCCGCCCCTCCCAGGACAGCCCGAAAAGCGTTCGGAGACCTCCTGGATGCCCCCCGAGGGCACCCTGGCGGCACAGGCCGAAGGCCACTGGGAATGTATCCTGCGGGGGGCCCACGCACAGAATAAGTACACCCTATCCGGCGCAGTGCACAAGCAACGCAGGGCAGCGCAGGGCAGCGCAGGGCAACGCAGGGCAGCGCAAAGAGGTGCAAAGCACATGAATGCAAAGCAAGGCAACACAGTTCATTGCAAAGCAGCCCGCGGGCACATCACATGGCGAGTGCGCTACCCATGGGCAACCGGTCGACGAAATCCATGAGCGCAGACTATGGCCACCAAGGAATCTGGACGAAGCCTGCTCAACCAATGGCACAACTCATGGGGGCAACTTCTGAGGCGACACATGGGCGCAACCGATGGCCACCAAATACAGATTGGGGAACGTTTGAAAAACCACTGGATTGGCACAAACTATGCACGCAACCTGCGGCCAGTACACATTCCTGGGAGGAGGCGGCATGCCACGAATTTCACGGCCCAAGGGTGACCCCCCAAACGCAAACACCAGTTTTGATATTTTGCTATACCGTGCGATGCCGTAGTTTGCTGGGCTTTTCTTTACTGTGCCATGATCTGCCATGCAACGCGATGTAATGGCACACCATGCTATAGTATGCAACGCGATTCTGGACCAGGCTGCTGCATGAAAACTGCTGTGACATAGCATGTGGCCCTAAGATCTGCGATGTAAAACGCCGTTGTGATATGCAACGCTGTCACGTGCAATGGCGTGCATGATTTCGGCATTGCGATGTGACTTACCACGCGTTGCTATTGTATCACCTGGTATGGCTTGATTTGCCGATCAATGGTACGCCCATGGAATACTATGGAACGCGAGTGCATGATACGCAATGTCGTACACCGCTGCGCAGTTCTAAATCAGGCCCTGTTCTAACAGTGCGGCGCGTTGCGATGCAATACGGCGAGTTGCTGAACATATCTAGCTTCATGCGCAATTCTATAAACGTACATGCCAGAGCATCAAATGGGTTGCAATGTAACGCTGCGGGAAGCCACTATGTGCAAAACGATGTGCCACGATGCAACATAAACGGCTGTGGTGTAACCATGTTATGCTATGTCATGCTGTCCTTCTGTAGGAGCGGAGGGTCTGACGTGCGCGAGACGGCGATTTGTTTTGCTCGGAAAGGAAACGTGATGCGTTGCGTTGCATGGCGTTGCGTTACCATGGTATGCCTTCAACCAATGAGTACCCCAAGTTGAGCTCGATCGGTTGGTTCATTTCCAGAACGCGGCTTCGAATATAGCTGGCGCCTGAAACTGCCCACAATCCTCGATGCGGGCGCAAGGTTTGGCACTGCCCAATGTCGATCCCACGCGAACCACCACGACTATTCGGGGCCATGCTCCGCCGACCCCCACTTGTACTGCAATTAAAGAAGCCATACCTCCCCGTTTCCATGTTGTGCTCGTCACTGCCCCTTTGCTCGGCACAACGAAACGAATGCTGAATGCCACAAACGCTCAGCATAGCAACACCTTGTGAACGGGCAGTATGTGCTGGAGACGACGACGGCAATGAGAAAAGAGAGAATCGTAGTTACTGTTAGGTCCCACGAAAGGCTGAGACTACAAACTGTTACAAGCGTCCCGACGGCAGGCAGGAACGTGCGCGAATCTGGGTGGGATCTCCATATTCACCACCTGCTGGAGCGCCAAGTGCACATCAACAAAAAACAGAAGCGGAGGGGGGGGAGGACGGCGAGAAGCTCCCACAGAGCAAAGCATGCCATGCCAGATCCCACGGACCAGGGCTGCCAAAAACAGTGCAGGCGTCCGCTCTTAAAAACGTAAAAAGTTCAAGTTCAGGTTAGCTCAGCTCGCACGGGGGAAAAAATGGTGCGCGCGAGCCCGCCCATGGAGAGAAGGCCGGGGGCAAGCAGAGAGGCCACGCTGAAAGCCTAGCCTAGCTGCCTGCTCACTGCGGCAGGACGCTCGCTCACTGGGGCCCTTTGCCACGAGTGCTGTGCCCCTCAGCTGGCCAAGCCGTGCGCAGGGTCCCTGTCAGTAGTTCGCCACGTCGCGGCTGCGAGCAGATCCGCCGACCCTCTCGGCGTGTGCGAGGGGCTTCTCCGTTCGAGTTCTCGTCTCCGTCGTCTCCTCGTCGTCTTCGTCGTCGTCACAGTCGTCTCCTCGCCGTATCCTTCGTCCCCCGTCCCTTTCCCTGGGCCCTCCTCGAGCGTGCCACCCAAAGCGAAATTGTACAGCGTCGTATTGGAGTCGAAGGGAAGGCCCTTCCCTTTGATCCCTTCCCCGCGGGGGGGGGGGTCCCGGGGGAGGTCCCGGGAAGGGTCGCCACCCCGATTCGTTTTCCCCCGGGCGGCCCCGAATTACCGAATTGAATGATCGAGCAGCCCCAAAAAGAACCCAGAATGTCGAAGATGGCTCCCAAGATTGCCAAGAGCCCCGTGTCGCTCAAAGATCGGCCCGGCACGGCCAAGATGGCCCCAAGACGAGCCAAGAAGCCTCCTAGACGTCCCAGGAGCTCTCCAAGAACACCCCCACCAAGGCTCCAAGAGGCTCCTCCTCCTCCTCCTCCTCCTCCTCCTCCTCCTCCCTCCTCCTCCTCCTCCTCATCCTCCTCCTCCTCCTCCTCCTCCTCCTCCTCCTCCTCCTCCTCCTCCTCCTCCTCTCCCTCCTCCTCCTCCTTATCTGCCCCCCTCCTCTTCCTCCTCCTGCTCCTGCTACTACTCCTCCTCCTCCTCCGCCGCCGCCTTCCTCCCCTCCTCTCCCTCCTCCTCGTTATCCTTCTTCTCTTTTTCCTCCGTATTTGTTTCCGTCATCCTCTTCTTCCTGATTCTTCTACTCCTGCCCCTCCTGACCTCCCTCTTCTTCCTATTCCCCGCCCTTCTCTTCATCCTCCTTCTTTTCCTCCTCCTCCTCCTCCTCCTCCTCCTCCTCCTCCTCATCCTCTCATCATCATCATCACCATCATCATCATCATCATCATCATCATCATCATCATCATCATCATCATCATCATCATCATCACCATCATCATCATCATCATCATCATCATCATCATCATCATCATCATCATCTTCATCATAATCATCATCATCATCATCATCATCATCATCATCATCATCATCATCATCATCATCATCATCATCATCATCATCATCATCATCATCATCATCATCATCATCATCATCATCATCATCATCATCATCATCATCATCATCATCATCATCATCATCATCATCATCATCATCATCATCATCATCATCATCATCATCATCATCATCATCATCATCATCATCATCATCATCATCTTTCTCTTTTTCCCTCCTCTTTCTCCTCCTCCTACCCTTCCTCTTCTTCCTTCTCCTCCCCATCCTCATCCCTCTCTCAGGCAGGATAAGCCGCAGCGAAAGGAGACATCAGACGAGAAGACATCGACCGACGCACCCCTTCCTCCTGCTCCTGCCACTCCTCCTCCTCCCCCTGCATCTCCCCCCCCTCCCTTTCATCTTCGTCGTCTTCAGGGTCGGCGGCACCCGCCGTAAGGCCTTCGCAGTAATTGTGTCCGTCGGGGTGGACTGCAGGCGTGGGCCAAACGGCCACGCGCAGAGGGTGGTATGGGGGAGGGGGGAAGGCTGCTTTCGTAGGGCGCCGACCTTACGTCTACAGACGAGCCTCCTCAGAAGCAGGGTGCTTCTAAGAAGCCTTCCCCCCTTCCCCTGCCCCCCTCTGCGCGTGGCCGAGGGCAGGAGCCTGTCAGCTGGCCGCTCGCCGGCACAGGGCCGCTGTCGTGGCGACGACTCCGCCGCGCACGGGCACGTTGGAATCACAGCCTGAGGCCTCCGCGCCCGCGAGCTGGCCCTCCTGGCACACCATCTCCGCTGCGGCATCGTCTGCTCGCGGCGCTGAAGCCGTACTGCCAAAGCCTCGACGCGACCAACGTCGCCAAGGTCGCGCGCGGCCCCGTGCGCAGGACCACGAGGGGATCCCGGCTGCTGGCGTCCATGCACACGAGCGTAGAGTGGCAGTGCAAGGCCCTGGCCACGTCCAGCGACCTGCGGCTGTATCGCTCCAGCGGGCGGTGGGGGTCAACGACGGAAGCCTCATAGTCGGAGTACACCAGCAGATCATGGCTCGTCAGGACGCACCACCGCCATCGCCATAGGAACCACATCCAGCGCTGCTGCATGGGGCCCTCCACCAGTGCCTCCGCGCCACCGGCGTCCCTGCCACCTCGCTGGCCCGGCTCGGTGCCGTCGAGCACCGCCCTGCCTGCCCCGGCCTCGCCCAGCTCGGTCGGCTCTGCCGCTCGTGGCGCGCCCGCGGCAGCTGGCTGGGAGCAGCCCTCCCGGCATGAAGGAAGGGGGTCCTGAAGCACACGGGTCGACCCCCCGGGCTGCCCCCAGGGGCACCGGCGCATCGCACCGAACAGCCTGCCCAGACCCACGACGCCGTGGTGCAACGTCGACCCCCACCGGCGTTTCTGCCCGAGTCGTTTTGTTGACGGCCCCCATGGCCCGGGCAGGACCCCGGAGAGCCGAAAAATAACGAAAAACCTCCCGTCGTGATTTATTCGCAACGCGAGGGGGTCTGGGTGTGGGGCGGTCCAAAGGCCAGGAGGAGGAGGAGGAGGAGGAGGAGGAGGAGGAGGAGGAGGAGGAGGAGAAGGAGGAGGAGGAGGAGGGGGAGGTGGAGGAGGGAGGAGGAGGAGGCGGAGGAGGAGGAGGAGGAGAAGGAGAGAGGAGGAGAGGAGGAGGAGGATGAGGAGGAGAGGAGGAGGAGGAGGAGGAGGAGGAAGGGAGGAGAGGAGAGAGGGGGGAGGAGGACAAGCTAGGTGCGCTCGCGTCATATCTGACGTCGTACCCCTCCCTCCCATCCCTTACCGCGGCGTAGATCTCCTCTCTATTCGCACACTCGGATGTCGTAGCAGGGCATAGCATTATATGGCATCGCATGGTGTTGAAAATCAACACGTAGCCTGTCATAGCATGGCGTGGCGACGCCCCAAAGTGGTGGGGTGTCGACGGCCCAAAAATCAACGAATCGTCACCACATGTGTAATAACTGCCGATGTTTTTTTCGGGAGCCATTTTCTGGATGCTGGGGCAAATTTGGAAGGACCGAAAACCCTGCAGTGGCATGGCGCTGGAAATAATGACGCCATCGCTGCAGCGGGAGCGCGATTCGGAACGAGCGGAAATGAGGCCAGCGCTGCAGCGGGAGCACGACTCGGAGGACGCGTAGAGGAGGAGGAGGAGGAGGAGGAGGAGGAGGAGGAGGAGGAGGAGGAGGAGGAGGAGGAGGAGGAGGAGGAGGAGGAGGAGGAGAGGAGGAGGAGGAGGAGGAGGAGGAGGAGGCGGAAGAGGGAGGGGAGGAGGAGGAGGAGGAGGAGGATGCGGAGGAGTAGGAGAGGAGGAGGAGGAGGAGGAGGAGGAGGAGGAGAGGAGGGGGAGGAGGAGGAGGAGGAGAGGAGGAGGAGGGAGGAGGAGGAGGGAGGAGGAGGAGGAGGGAAGAGGAGGGGGAGGAGGAGGAGGAGTAGGAGGAGGAGGAGGAGGAAGGAGGAGGAGGAAGGAGGAGGAGGAGGAGGAAAGAGGAGGGGGAGGCGGAGGAGGGAGAGGAGGAGGAGAGAGGAGGAGGAGGAGAGGAGGAGGAGGGGAGGAGGAGAGGAGGAGGAGGTAGGAGGAGGCCAGGAGGCGGAGAGAGGAGAGGGGAGGGCCCAACCGAGAGGCCCGAGAGCGGCGACCGGGGACGTCCGAGAGACCCGTCGCCCCTCGGGGCCCCCCTGCGTCATGGCGGGGCCTCTCGCGCGGATGCCCATGGACAGCAGGCCCCGGCAGTGGGCGCACACGACGGCGCCCTTCGACGCGCCGAGCCTGCAGGGGGACGGCACAGCCATCGAGCTACAAAGATCCTCCTCCTCCTCCTCCTCCTCCTCCTCTCCTCTTCCTCCCTCCTCCTCCTCTTCTCCTCCATCTCCATCTCCATCTCCTCCTCCTCCTCCTCCGCCCTCCTCATCCTCCACGTCCCGAATCATCCCTCCTCCTCCTCCTCCCCTTTCCCTTCCTCATCCTCCCCTCCCCTACTCCTCCTCCTCCTTTCCTCATCATCATCCTCTCCTCCTCCTCCTCTTCCTCCTCTCCTCCCCCCTCCGCTCCTCCTTCTCTCCTCCTCCTGCCTCTCCTCCTCCCCTTCCTCCTTCCTCCTAAGCCCGCCTCCTCCTCTCCTCCCCCTCCTCCTCCTCCTCCTCTCCCGCCTCCCTCCCCTCCTCCTCCTCATCCTCCTCCTCCTCCTCCGTCCTCACCCTCCCCCCCGCCCTCCGCCACCGCCCTCCGCCTCCCCCTCCTCCTCCCCTCCTCCTCCTTCCTCCTCCTCCTCCTCCTCCTCCTCCTCCTCCTCCTCCTGCTCCTGCTCCTGCTCCTCCTCCTGCTTCTACAAGGAACGGAAGGATGTCTCTGGAATGGTTCTCAGGAAGGGCACGACAGTCCGCGGCCCTCCTGAGCCCAAAGTGGTCCTCATTTCGGCGTCTGCACTGCTGTAGAATGGGTTGGTACCGGCTCGGGGGGGGAAACATTGGCTTGGAATCGGTGATGCATCGCCAATGCTGTCAAGGCCTACTCCAGATTTCGCAATAAAAGGGAGGGGGTCTGGACCCTCCAAGACAAGCCATTTCAGACCTCCCCCATGGGAGAACCCTCCAAAACATCGTCCCCAGACCCCCCAGGCCCTCCAAGATGGCCTGGAAGAGACCCCCCCCGAAATGAGACCCCCCTCCCTTTATTACGAAATCTGGAGTACCGGCTCGGGGGGGGGGAAGCATTGGCTTGGAATCGGTGATGCATCGCCAATGCTGTCAAGGTCCACTCGACGCACGCTGATGTCTAGCAGGGGCACCGCGCCCAAATATCCTGGAAGTGACATCCAGATCTTGATGTAACTTTATGTGGCGGGGAGCTGCGCGAATTACGTCCGAGAGCGAATACAAAACATCGACATCCTCCGCTTCGGCGGGGGATTCGTCTAAGGTCTGCCTGCAGACGAGATCTTGAACGCCGCACTCTTTCATTCATGCCCACTGGCCCAACAAACACACATGTCAGAAAGCGAGTGCACATCGGCAGCAGGTCCCTGATGGCGACTCCGAGCTTGCCCGGGCGGGGCCCGGCGGGCGATGTTTGGGCGATCGGGGGCCGATGCGCTCCCCTGATGCCCCTCGCCCCCTCCAGTGGCAGCTCATGGGCTCCTCCGAGTGCCATCTTGCCGGCACCTGCGAAGCGGCACTTCCCGATCCGATTCGACGCTGACCGACGCTGATCGACGCGAGGCCCAGGCTGGATCGACGCCTATGGGCACCAAGTCGGCGCGCTGCCGTCGATTTCTGGGCGCTGGCGCACGTTGGTGCACTCTGAGAAGTTTTCAGGCAAGGCAGGGCGGAGAAGGCTTCCATTACGGTCGGACCTGGGACAGCAGAACACCCTTCAAGAACATGGGACCCTGCATCGGCCAAACTGAACTACACTCGGGGGTACCCTCCCCCAGGGGGTGCACAATACCGTCCAACAAACACGAACATTTGGACACCCTCCCCGAACCGACCTCGATCTCCTACCTCGGTCCGACCGTAGCTGCTCCCGAAAGCGACTGCGGGGCGTCTAGTCGGCAACTCGCAAGAGTGGCCCTGGGAAGGAGTGTCCTCTGGTGCGCGGCCTAAGGGGATGCCCTTTGGGGATACCACCAGGCGCGCAAGCCGCTGCTATTAGAGGCCTCCTAGATGGGTCCGAGTGGATGGGGTCGGAGGATCGCGCCGCATCGCCGATGCATCGGCAGGATGCTTTGGCGATGTGTCGGCGATGTCGGCAGTGCATCGTCGACGCCAGTGAGAAGACAATCGGGCTCCGCATCGGGCCGCACCGCCGATGCACCGGCGATGCGGCGCGATCCTCCGACCCCATCCACTCGGACCCCAACTGGGAGGCCTAGAGCTATAGCATCGCATTCTGTGATCAAGAGGCCCCATTGGTCGGGGATCTGCTGACCCGGGTCAATCCAGACCCGGGTCAGTCAGCCGAATCCTGCAAGATCCTGCGCCCAAGCCCGGGTCAATGCGAAGGATCCTGCAAGACCCTGTAAGATCCTGCACCCAAGCCCGGGTCAATGCGACCCTGGCCCTGCAGCATCCTGCAGGATCGGGAGCTCTGACGTCACCCCCCGTTTGCATGGACCCCCCGTCTCTTGAGCCCCAGTGGAACCCGCACCGATGGTCACTCCGGCGACGATTCCTCTCGCTTCACGGGGTGCACGTCCGGAGCGCGTGCAGTCCAGACGTTCTGGGGCCTGGTGGAAGCCTCTTTGGGGCCTCTGGGGGCCCTTTTGTGGGCTCCTTGGGGCCTCGTGGGCGGCGTCTTGGGGCCTCTTTTGGGGCCTCTTGGGGCCTCTTTTGGGGCCTCTTTTCGGGCCTGTTTTGGGGCCTCTTTTGTGGGCTCCTTGGGGCCTCTTGGGGGGCTTCTCTGGGGCCCCTTTTGGGGCCTCTCTTGGGGGCGTCTTGGGCGGCCTTGGGGCGCTCCTGCGAACGGCCGCTCCTGCGTGCAGCCCGCCTGGGACCCGCCTCGCCCCCTCGGTGTGCCGCCGGCGCCTCGGCCAGGGCCCCCCGCCCACGGGGGCCCCGGGCGCCCCGCCCGGGGCCCGCCCTCCACAGCGGAGATCCGTGCCCGAGGGCCCTCGGCTGAAGTCGGGCGTGTGCCCCTACAGGGGGATTTTCGACGAAGAATAAAAAATACCCCCCAAAATAATAAGAAAATTATCCAAGAATAGTCTGGGGACTATTGTTTAACTTTTTTTACCTTTTTGGGGGAATTTTGGGGTATTTCTCATTTCGCGTCGAAAATCCCCCTGTATGGGGGACAGGCCCGACTCAACCCTCGGCCCCGAAAAAAGGGCCAGGCAGACAGACAGCGGCCTGGCATCCGAGTGGACGCGCAGGCAGGGGGCGAGCGAGCAGCCACACGCTGTTGAGAGCGGCGGCGGGCGAGAGAGCAGGGCCAAGCGCCGGCGCCGTGATGAAGATGAAGGGTGACGACGAGGATGGATGAAATAAACATGTTACATCATGTGGTCATCTGGAGGCCGAAATCCAGGGAGAACGCCCTGGAGGCCGACTTACCTCACACAAGAAGCAGCGCCGGTCTAGAAGCGGAGTGTTTCACAAGGACACACAAGAGGCTCCCAGAAGCTGCTACCGAATTCTCCCTATCTGCGCATCGTTTCACCGATCCCTATCCCCACTGACGCGGCGTGGAACCCAATGGCCGATTGACCCCTTCCAGATGGGGGCATGGGCTGTTTTCCTCC